AGAGATAGAAAGCGAGAAATCACCCCCCAGGGGGGATGGCCACACCGCAATCCCTTCTCCTCCATTCTCCTCTCGGGATCTTGGGCATGCACGCACACGCGTCCGGAGTGAGTTTTAAGCCACTGGGACCAGGAAGTGAACCGCAGTTGACTACGTGGGAGTCCAGAGACATAGCCATTACGCTAACTGCTGGTCCCAGCACCTAGTAACTCTTGACCAATTATAATAGAACTGACTAGAGTCTACTTCTTAGAGCATTACTTTAATGAAAATATCACCAAGGGGATCAGGAGGTGGTGCAGTGGTAACACAACTGAACCTACATAAAAAGAGTCCTACGTTCTTCTCTTGAGGTTTCCCTGAGCAACCCAGGCATATGTGTGTGCCCATGATCTGGGCAGGCAGAGACTGGGGTGGATCATGGAGCACCTGTTTGGGGTGTCTCTTTCTCTCTCTCTTCTTTTTCTATTTTTCTCTCTCTCATGGAAGAAATAAATAAGTAAACTTTTTTTTTTTTTTTAAAAAGGTCTACCATAGGGACAAAAATCTCTCTAAAAAAATAATAAGTAAAATAAAATGGTATATCACCAAGAACTAGAGTTGGACACTATTATTTGAGGAATTAATTTGTTTGTTGCTATAAGGTACACGTGTGTGTGTGTGTGTGTGTGTGTGTGTGTGTGTGAGAGAGAGAGAGAGAGAGAGAAAGAGAGAGAGAGAGAGAGAAATCACTGGGGTGATTTCCTTCATTCTCCTCTTGGGATTTTTGGGCACATGTATACAGGTGCCTTGGCCATGTGGGATCTAGCTGCCTTAACCTCCACACCATCTGTTGGCCCTTAAGAAACATTTTTAAATTTAGTGTATTAGCTCTGTCTATGTAGTAAGAGGAAATACAATACAGAAGCAATGACTAGGTAATTCAGGTCATCAGCTTATATTTACAATGAAAACAAAGTAATTGTGACAAAACAGCTTGCTACACTGAATCACCTAGGTAATTGCTTCAGTTCCTCACCCCACCTTTCTCTGCCTACTGTAGTCATAGCCTTTGGGAATGATAAGAATACTGCCTGCCAGAACGTTGTTCCAAGCTGACAGTTTGTGACTATCCGAAAGCTCTCTGCCTCTGCAAAACACTTGCCTTCTAATCACATGCTCTCCTTGTGCCTGAGCTAGGGGAGATGACCAGCATGTGGCAACTGCAGGAAAATTGGTGACTGTGTATTTCAGGTTCTGTCTACATTCTTTGGACCTGTGTGATCAAGTCACCTGGATAATGAGAACAAAGTACAGCAATACCGTCCTGCTTTCGGGCCGTTAGTATTCACAACAGAGAAAAGGAACAATTTAGGGTACTATTAAATGTAACCGACTGCACCAGATTTAACAAATTAATGAGTTTGTCACCAAAGAAATCCTAAAACAGGCACAGATGACCTTTCAGGTTCCCCCCAAAATTGAACAGAGGTGGCGCAATAGAGAGAGTTCTTCCAAAAGAATTACCCTCTGATTCTAATATGTTATCGCCCCCACCATTGTTTCTCAGCTTTTCTTCCAAATAGCAATGCTGACGCTTTATTAGTTAATCAATAGGACATGATACAGAGTATGGTTATCATAAAATAATCATACCCTGGAGCCTTTCGAGGCATGAGCCACTTGCCTCTAATCAGATTGGGTTGAGATTACCTTTGGATAACCACGCTCCTGGGAACTGTCTCATTTCTATTATGAGTACGTTTTATAATAGGGAAAAATGTACATTTCTGCAGGGGGAAAATGAAGTTGGCAGCATACACCTAGCAATCATTTCAGCTGAGCCGAGAAACATTCCTCTTTTTGAACAAAGTCAAACTATGCTTCTTCTATTCAAGCAATGTCAGAGAAAAGAGGTACCTCACCCGCGGTGTGGGTAATGTAATACAATGGAAACTGGATTTTACTTTGGCAGGGCAAGCTTCAAATTATATGCAAACATTCAAAAAGGGCATTTGAAACTTGGCATGCATGTTTATAAATGGCACATTTTGAATGTGGAGTGGGTTTAGGTGTCTAGGTTACAATAACAAATGATCTCCCATGTAAAAATGGAACAAAGCCTTTCCTTAACTTCCTACAGAGAAAGATGTTCATTTCTGCTTCAATTATAATCCTAGGCACACTGGAGATTCTGTTGAGAGCAATTTCTGCATATTCTTCCTTATCCTGACTGGCCAAAAATTTTAATCAAATTACATATATTGGAAAGTTAAAGACAGAAAAGCCCAGTGAGCCATGAAATACACTTTACAACAGTGGGCATAGCACATACCCTATTGGTTTAGCTTATCCTGACTGGCCAAAAATTTTAATCAAATTACATATATTGGAAAGTTAAAGACAGAAAAGCCCAGTGAGCCATGAAATACACTTTACAACAGTTTGGTTTAGAATGATAGAAAAATCCATTTAAAATGTTAGATGAACACACTGCGGGCTGCAGAGATGATTATAAACTCTCAGAGTTGTAGGTTTTAATCCTGTTTTTCTACACATAATATTTCTATCTAGACATTTTTAACATGAGATAAATGATAAAGCCAAAAAAGATGGTGAAAATACTCCTGCTAATTGCTCCGTGATGGAAGTAAATATTTGTAAATAATAGTGAAAGTGAGAAGCAAGGGAGCCAGACACTATTATTGCCATATTGATAGACTCAGATGTCTGATACCCTTTGTGTTAGTCTTGCTAGCGATATAACTAATAAACAAAATTATGCCACGGAGTGAAGGCAGGATAAACAGTCTCATTTATGGATTTGTTACATTAGAATTAAATTTAGCTTCTATGTGACAAAATTGCATCTGATTAATGATACCCCTTTTCAACAATGATTATTCCAAGAGCCTCGGAATGTCTATCTTGGGTCCAACAGTTGCTTAATCCTTCCTACTATTTCGTTTCCTCAGATTTTTATCTGGTCTCTGCAAAATAGCTAGGGCAGCTGGGATCCTGGCTTGAAAGAAATGAGGGCTAGCCAGAAAGAAACCAAGCAAGGATTTGTACTAATCATTAAAAATTCAGCTCACAGAACTAGATGGAAGAGTCCATTTTTAATTATTCAGAGAGCAGAACGGCTTCTTACCTCAGATTTCTCTAAGTTGGTAGATGGCTCATGTTTTGTGCTAAAGTTCTCATTTCTCCTTGCCCAGCAGGCCCAAAGACAGCCCAAACTGTCTGGTGCCACCTCACACCTTCCAGAAGAACGTGAGTCAAGGGCTGTGTAGGTGGAGTAGAATGAAAAGAGCCTGGGAAAGCTCCTTGTCTTCCAGAAGCAGTGAGACTCCTGGCTTGCCCTTGCCTTTTGACTGATGTGGGACTTCTCCGAGGCTGATTCCACTATGTTAGCATCCCCAGACACATTATGTCCTCACAGCCTCGATTCTGATGTCACCTCTCAACCAGACAGCTTTCTCTATGATTACCGCAGTTAGATGAGTGGCCTTATCCAAGCTTGTCCTGATTGCTGCTATATTTGACTTCTACGGCGCTCTTGAAATTCCTACTTAGGTGAGTTCATGATTAGTTTCTCTCCTATATTCTGCTGATCTCACTCTCCTTTGCTAGATCCTCTCTTCTCTAAATACTAAACATCTTTCCCAACCAAGATTATCTTTGGCCCTTTGTTTTCTTCTCTGGGCAATCTCTCACAGTATCAACTGTCAAAATAACAGTCCAACCTCGATTTTTTTTTTTTTTGAGAGCTTTTTGCTATAGGGCGTGTGCGCTCACCAGACAGAGAGAGACAGAGAGACAGCGAGAAATCAACCCCCCGGGGGGGATGGCCATGCCGCAATCCCTTGTCCTCCATTCTCCTCTCGGGATCCTGGCCACACACGCACACGCACCCACAGCATGAGTTTTATGCCACCGGGTCTGGGACGTGAACCACGGTTGACTACATGGGAGTCCAGCGACATAGCCATTATGCTAACTGCTGGCCCCTCAATCTTTTTACCCATTACTAGCTGACTGTCTTTCAGGAACAATTAACCTGGACCAATTTGAGTGACTTACTATAACACAGAATTCTAAGATGACTCCCTTAGTTCCTGCCCCCCCCACCACCACCACCACTGTCCATTGTTTTGGGTAATTTTCTCCTCAAGAGCCTATGACTCGCTTCTAAGCAACAGAATGTGGCAAAGCTGGAAGAATTTAGCAGATGTAATTATGGTCTCTAATCAGTTGACTTTTTAAAAAAACAAAAAACAAAAAAACTTCTACAGGGCGTGTGCACTTGCCAGAGAGAGAGACTGAAAGGGAAAGTGAGAAAACACCTCCCAGGGAGAATGAATATGTTACAATCTCTTATCCCCCATTCTCCCCTCCAGACTTTGGGCATGCACACACACATGCCTGGTGTGTTGAATTTCAAGTCGCTGGTATGGGACTTGAATCATGCAATTGGTCAAGAGGGATCCGATCACCTTAAACATCATGTGACCAGCTGACCTCTCAGTTAATTTTGAGTTTATTCTTGTGGCTCTAACCTAATCAGGTGAGACCTTTAAAATGTGGTACAGGCCTTCCCTGAAAAAGGAGAGTTGAACAAGGAAAGATACTTTCCTGTAGACCTTTAAAAAGCAAGTGAACATACTGTGATATACTTAGGGAGAGGACAGCCTCTAGGAGCTGAAGGCCTTGGTCCTATAATCACAAGGAATGGAATTCTGCCAATAATCTGAATGACTTTAGATGAGGACTGCAAGCTCCAAGTGAGAATATCAGCATTGGCTGACACCTTATTGAAGTTGAGATGACCCTGAGCAGAGCTAGCTAAGCTGTCCCTGGATTTTGGATCCACAGAAATTGCGCATTTTTTTTTTTTAATCACCCCGCGGGGGGATGGTCACGCCGCAATCCCTTCTCCTCCATTCTCCTCTTGGGATATTGGGCACGCACACACCCGCGCCCGGTGCTAGTTTTAAGCCACTGGGTCCAGGACGCAAACCGCGGTTGACTACATGGGAGTCCAGCGACATAGCCATTACGCTAACTGCTGGTCCCCCAAATTGCGCATTATTTCATCCAACAGATGGTGGTAATTTCTTTCACAGTAATAGAAAAATTACTCTCCCAACTGCTTAAAATTGTCCTCTCAGAATTAAAGCTTTAAAGTTACCTGTGACTCCCTTTACTAGATGTCAAGATCTGTCACTTATTCTTGAAAAGTATCTACTGAAGTCAGACACATTCCTCTATTTTATTCAAAACTCTCATTTTTCTTCAGCAAATATTTGCCAGACATCATGTTCAGCTCTGGGTATGCAACAGGTACAGCTCCTGCCCTTATGCAAAGTAAATTTTAGTGAATAAAATGAACTCTGAAAACATTATAGAAATGTAAGGTGCTTAGAGAGTTCTTTGGGGGACTCTAACTTAGGCTGGTTGGGAGAGGAGACAAAGAAGGCCTTTGTCTTCTATCAGGCTCCTACCACAAGCCTGATTTATTGTGCTTTTCATTTCTTCAGGCAGTTACACACAGAATTACTGGGTTCATCTTTTTATAAAGATATTTTCCAGCTTAAAAAACTGTCCTTTGAAGATTTTGGATGGCTGTCTATTGTTTTTTGTTGTTATTGTTGTTTGTTTTTTAGAGAGATTTTTGCTATAGGGCATATGTAACCATCAGAGAGACACACAGAGAGAAAGTGAGAAATCACCCCCTGGGGGATGACCATATCACAACCTCTTTTCTTCCATTCTTCTCTTGGGATTTTGGACATGTATCCACATACATCTGGCATGAGTTTCAAGTTGCCAGTCCCAATTCAAAACTATGGTTGGCCAATGTGGAGCCCAGAACTTTAACCACAATACCACTTGCTGGCCCCTGGCTCTCTATTGTTACTGAACTAAAGTAGATGTGAACCAGGAATGGTCACTCACTAGAAAAGTTGTGAAAAGCCCATGATGTTTTTGAGGAGGAAGACATTATATCCCTGAATGAGATCACAAGTGGGCTTTTTTTCTTTTTTCTTTTTTTTTTTAAAGTTTGTCACAGGGCACATGTGCCTGCCAGGGAGTGTGAGAGAAAGCAAGAAATCATCTCGGTGGGGCATTGTCATACCTGTAATCCCCTCTCCTCCATTCCTCCATCCTGTTGGGATTTGGGGCATGGGCCAGTGTGTTTCCTAAGCTGCCAGGTCCAGGTTGAACCATGCAGTTGGCCATGAGGGATATAGCCACCTCAACCACAACACAACTGGTTGTTTACTAACAGATGAACTTTTATAAGGAAAGAATTCCCATCCTAGTCTTCAATTAAGTCCACTTAGGCAAATGAAGGATTATAATTTGTGCAGCTCTGATTAGCCAACTCAAGCAGCAGCCGTGTTGGCTCATTACTGAAATTGGTACTATTCTGATTGGTCACACACACTGTTGTAGCCAGCATCCTCCCTGAAGTAGGAGTCAACTTTAAAGTCACTCAGCTTTCCCCACACATATGTCCTCCAAGCAAACCCACAAAATAGCAGTCAGCACTAGGTGTCTGCCATTGCACTAGTTTTGGCCAGTCATGTTCCTACCTCACAAATATAATTAAAATATATCTATATATAGATATATATCAATAAGGTTGTAGCAAATGTCAATTGTGCCTCATCTAATAAAGTCCCTGAGAGGTTTAGAGACTTGGTTTAAAGCCACAGAAGTAGTAGAAACAGGATTGAATTCCCTGTGAGCCAACTCTGAATCGAATCCTTTTTGCACACTGTTGCTACCACTTTGATATTGTAAAGCATAAAAAAATTTTCTAATGGCTTACACACATTATAGATAAATCAGCGCAAGTTCCCAGAGGAAAAGCACTTAACCCATTTCTGGCCTTTATCTCAGGAAAATTTTGATTACTCCACATGTTTAAGCTAAGGTCGATATTTGGTTAATATTCCTGCCCTCACAAGCTTGGGACTGACTATAAAATGAGGGTAACATTTACATTTATGCTTAAATGACATGAACTCTGAAACCCCCACCTGCCGACGAAGAATACAGCAGTAGTAGTGGATACCTCCTTGTGCTCTTCCCGGCTCCTTTTCATAGGCTAGGCAGTCATTCTTAAGATTTGGATTTTAACAAGGCACAGCTTCCCTTTTCTCCAAAGAACAGCCCTCCAGGAGCCTCTTCATTTAGCAAGTTTAGTTTAATCCTCCACAGTTGGGAGCAAATCACAAGCTGACATAAAGAATACAAAAGACTGAGCCTCAAAAATAAATAAATAAATGAAATAAAAAGACTGATCTTGCCTTGGGGTGGGATCAACTTTGTGATGAAGTCTACTCTCCAGAACTTTTGTGTGGATTTACATGGAAGTTAACCTCCAGTAGAGACCATTCTTGGGTAATTTTCTTCCCCTTCCTTATCCTGCTACCCTTGCACTCTTCTCCCCAAAACAGTCCTCAAATCAGTCACTTGAACAAGAATCCCATCTAAGGCTCTGCTTCTCAGGAACCTCTCGCCAGTCAATAAACCAACTTGAGTACCCCTTACTTGTTTCTGTGAGCCACCAAAGGGGCCTCATGTTGCCTACTAGCCATGCTGTCTGTGGCGGTGTCACGTGGCATCCATCACCTTTCCTTCTCCCATTCTGCTATTCTCCGACAGCCCAGGAGTACAGCTGAATGAACCCCTCCATGGTTTTTGCTGGAGGCTTGCTTTCTGAGAATAATAGCATCCATGCCAAGAATGCTGTTTTTGGATGTTCCTCAAACTGCCAGTCCTCCAGATAGTACAGTTGACCTGACTTTTATGAAGACTTAGAAGAATGGCCTCTTCCTTCACTTTCTGGACACTCAGGCATGTAAGCACCATGCAGAGAAAAATCTGTGTCTAGCATTTTAGGTAGTGGCCTTTATTTCCTTAATCCTGGAGAAGTAAGCTCATTTCTAGGAGCAGGTTGCAAAGCTGACATCCCTTTAAAATCTTAGAGCCTATGCCCCCAACCCAATGCATCCTTCCTGTTCTAGTTAAAAAGCCCAAGCCCTGAAGGGTGCATGAGTGGATGGAGAGAAAGAATTGTCTATACAAGCATCCTCCAGCACCCAGTTCAGAAAGAAAAAAAAAATTTAATATGGTTTTTATTTTTAGCCTGTATCAAAGAAACCTTCCTGAAACTATTTTGGATAGAGAACTTCTATAAAGAACAGCTACAACCTGTTTTTGAGAAACTCTCATTTCATGAAAGTTGTTAAAATGTGCTTAGATACACATGAAAGAAACTTTAAAAATATAATTCCTTCAATCTCATAGTTTGTTAGGTTTTAAAAAAGGAACTTACATAATGAAATAGAAAATGTTTTCCATTTCTCTTTCATAGATTTAAAGTTTATGATGACACTTTTGCTAGTACTTTATTATAACTATTTTTAAGCATACCATAAAATTTAAATTATTTTATGATAAACATCTCTATATACAGTATGTAGATTCTACCATTAACATGTTACTATAGTAGCTTTATCATGTATCTATATATCTAACAACCCATCCACTCATTAATGATG